GAAAAAACAAAAAAGGAAGGTTTATTTTCATTCAGTCAAAATCACCTGATATTCTTTGAGTGGTCGCGTGCATGTTGCCTTGCATCGCTCTTCAAGTTCCTGCTTCGGATCTATAGGCTTAGCGTCAGACTTAGATTAACAAACACAAGTTTGCACAACAGACAATGATACTTATTAAATTGATGCCAAACCAAAAAGTAAAACAGATGGTTCTGTTGGTAGCCAAATTTTTTTTTTATTATTTTTTTTTGAATTTAACTTCTTAATTATTATTTATCTCAAATCTTGAATAGTTTTAGGCAATAACAAGCAAATTATGCTTCACAAGCTTATTTGAAATGTGAGAAATCGATTTATTCAGAAGTAAGATCAAGCCTCTATATAGAAGCTTAACATTTATTTTTTCTTCAACATTTATGTCCACAGTTCATATAACCATTCTATAAGATACTTTTGTAAACCAGTACAAGACTTAATTATCCTAAGAGATAGAGATTACGGGAAGACCTAATCGAAGTCTGGAGTTATACATTGTGATTTGAGAAATTCGATATAAAAATTTGTCTATTAAAAATTGGGCCGATTTGGTCGGTTTAATGAGTTAACCCACAACCCGACCCACCTACACAATCAAAAAACCGAACCCACTTAAAAACAACAAAAAAATCGACCCAACCCGATCGGGTTGGGCTATTTGAGCGGGTTCGATCGGGTTTTGCCCACCTCTAGCCGTGACTTGTCAATTATAATGTGACTTTTTTTATCTGTATCTCTTTCTTTAAATACCTCTATAAAGTGATCTATCACTTATTTTTTATGAACTATGACTGTAAACAATGTAATGTGACTCCAAATATGAAAGTTGACTTAAATAAACAATTTGTGACCTGTATAAAATTATTAAATAAAATTATCTTGGATCTGTAAATGAATTTCTTTCACAAGCTATGGTATTTGTGACCATAATATATGACTTCAACAGCTATGCCAATAACCTATGACTGCAAAATTCATGGCAATATTATTTACCAATAATCTGTGATATATTGGCAATAATATCATGTGTCTAACTTGGAATGTGACTTATTTTGAAAGAGATGTGTCCTATCACTTGTAATATGACTTAATTTTGATCTGTACATGAATTTTTATACAGTACAGAGTTTTCATCAATTGTTATGTGACATGTGATAAAATATGTGACATCAACATATGTGCTAATAATATGTGACTTCAAAAATCTATGTCAATAATCTTTAGCAATAATCTATTCCTTCTAAGTAGAAATCCAAAATAAATGATTAAATGAATATACAAAGCTTATGAATGCTAGATTTAACATCCATATTTACATGAATCATGAAATCAAACGTCACAGAACTTGATAAAACTTGAAATGTTTTGTTTTGTTTTGATTACAAAATAGACAAATAAAAATCTCCTTTTGTTCATCACTAAACTGTGACGTAAAATTGGACAACACAATTTTTGTTGCATTTGTTGTGGTTTTGCTTGAAAACCTTAATTCTTTTGGTATAACGTACTCTCATTTCTGGAATACATGACAAAAGTAACAAACATAAGTATTTGATTCTTGTATATACATCTATGTCACAAACATACTCATAATACTGTACCAAACATAGCACACTAACAAAGAACAAATCACATACTCTATAATAGGTCACAAAGAAATAAGGTCACACCCTCTGTACTAGTCACAGGCACCATATGTCACAAAAACTAGTTAAATTCTTTCTATTTACAAAATTGTTCACTCTTATAAACTTAATTATAACATACGGTTTGTTACAAAAGAAAACAAAATGGTCTTCATAGTTGGTCACAAAAGATAACAAAATGGTCACTAAGATTAAATAATTCCAAAGCCCACATAATGCAATCATGTGATATTGCCCCCATTATCAGCTTTAAGGGAAAATAAGAAAAGTCATTATTATTCATGTGAGAGATGTATATATAAAATGGGAATTAATAATCAAGGAAGGTTATTTGAGACCATGTTATCAAACTTAGCATCAGCCTAATTTCTTAGTGAATCTACAAATTTAAATTCAAGAAAAAAAATAATTGTTTATTAGCATAATTATATTGCACAGTTTGAATTTATTATTTCTTCACCCAGACATTTCATCAAACACTTTTCCAACGACAACGTAAAATGGAAAATAAAGTCACATTACAAATTCAACGATTAAAATGAATCAAAGAAAAAGGAGTAGGATAACAAGTCAATTATGTAACCACTCTCACCTTATTAGGTCACAACACCTCAAGTCACATTTTCGACAGTTAGGTCACAAATTGTAAAATTGACAAGTACCTAAACCAAAAACACTAAAATAATTTCATATAACAAATTGCCCATGATCTAAATCAATTACAAAATTGATTTACCGACTTAGAATTAGGATTTTGCATTTTAGGAGAAGTTCAGTGACTTGATTCTGGTATTTTTTTGTGCCTTTTAGATGGGGAAATTTTATATAATTTCTTTACCTTTCTTTTACCCCTTCTATCTGAGGTCTCGACTGCATTCTTCTCATAATTTTCACTACTCGAACGAGGCATTAATCTTCGAATTTACAGCCTTCACAGGACGAAAATACTTATAAATTGATGGTTATATGGTGGGAGGATAATGTGCGTGTTGACTGTGGTAGCAAGTTCATCAGAGACGTACGGTGATGATAGAAAACTCCTTGTGGTCGTGCTATATAAAGACTCAATGTCGGAGGAGGGCTGGAAATATAAAGAAGTTATGATGTTTTCTAAATTTAAAACACGTAAATCACTGGGTAGGCGGTTACTGATGCATATATTAAGCATATAATATTTAAATATAATATATTAATCATAGTAATTTAATTATAATATATCGGGTAATTAGAACAAAACATCCCTACCTTTCAAGGTTTTTGTGAAAAATGTCCATACCTTTCATTTTTGGCAGATTTCACCCTCACCTTTATCTTTTTTTGCGCAAAACGTCCTTCTGTCAACTCCCCGTAAAAATACTCCATTAAATCAAAGGGTAATTAGTACAAAAGGTCCATACCTTTCAATGTTATTGTGCAAAACGTCCATTCCTTTCATTTTTGACATAATTAGCACAAAATGTTCCTACCTTTCAATGTTATTGTGCAAAACGTTCCTACCTTTTATTTTTTTGGGATTTTCACTCATACCTTTCACCTTTCATTGCGCAAAAAGTCATTTTCATCTATTTTTTCAATAAAATAATGATTTTATCCCCTATTCAAATAAAACAAAAAGAAAAAGAAAAGAAATAAATAACTAATTGCAATTATAATCCTAAATCTTTCAAAACATTACAGAGAAGTCCTAAATTCTCTACTACCACCACTTTCACAACCTCAGCAAACTGTCACCTATAGATCCATATAGCACCACCTTTCGGCCACAACACCCATCGGATTCCACCACCACCAGTCTCGTCTCACTCTCCCCAATATCCTCCTCCATAATATTGAATATCAATTTGTTCAAAATAACCACATTTACTCATAACAATCCCACTTTTGGGGCCACTCGCAGTCACGCACCACCATCGACGGTTACACCTTGCCTCTACGCATCTATACATGGCCTCACATCAATCAAAATTGCCTCAAATCATTTCGTTGTAATTCTAGAACATTCGACAATGACAACGTCCATTTTGCCAAAATCTTCTCCTTCAATTCATGCATCCCACAACACTAAATTTTGAAATTGGCATCAATGGAACTATCAATAAACTCAAACGACAATGTGTATGAATCTAATTAAACAAATTATCCCCTCAACCGTTTTAAATTCTGGTCCAAAATTCTCTACGAGCGCGATTCACGGTGAGAGAACCAAAATAGGTGGGCCCTAAGTACTTCAATCTTTCAAATTCGCGTGTGAAATGACGGTGGTGGAGTTCGGTGGGCATGGTGGCCGAAAGGCAGTGCTGTGTGGATCTATAGGTGGTAGCTTGATAAGTTGTGAAAATGGTGGTGGTTGAGAATTTATAATTTCTTTGTAATTTTTTTTTTTAATTTAAGGATTATAGTTGCAGTTGGTAATTTATCTTTTCCTTTTGTTTTATTTGAATATGAGGGTAAAATCGTCATGTTATTTAAAAAATGATGAAAATGACATTTTGCGCAATGAAATGTGAAAGGTAGATGTGAAAATGCTAAAAAATGAAAGGTATGGAGGTTTTGCACAATAACATTGAAAGGTTCCCTACCTTTTGTGCTAATTATGCCAAAAAATGAAAGATTTGGACGTTTTGCACAATAACATTAAAAGTAAGGGACCTTTTGTGCTAATTACCTTTTGATTTAAAGGATCATTTTAACGGAGAGTTGACAGAAGGACGTTTTGCGCAAAAAAGGTAAATGTGAGGGTGAAATCTGCTAAAAAATGCAAAGGTGTGGACGTTTTTCACAAAAACCTCGAAAGGTAGGGACGTTTTGTGCTAATTACCCTAATATATCTGATTTTTGAAAGAGGAAACTTCCCATCTGATTTTTGAACCCTAAATTTTAATTCTAGGATTTTGTGTAATCATCCCCCACACCCTCGCCCCCCCTTTTTTTTTTTCAAAACAAGCCCAAGAGGAAAGGGGACAGCCGGACCCAATATCCAACAACAGCCCACAATCCAATCTATTTACCCAATTACCCAACCCAAACCTGAGATTCAATCCCAGAGCTTGCTCAGTGTTATTAATCGTCGCCTCGACGGCCTCGTCTCTGCAAGACTGCATCTCCAGTCACTCGACTCACACTCCCACTCACACTCACACTCACACCCACTCCCACTCCCACTCCACCAGTTCGCCTCCACTGAGTCCGCCCGTACGCCGCCGATCGCCTCCAGGCTCCGCCGCTCCAGCAACTTGTCTAGTATTAGTAACTCTAGTTGTCTCCATTCTTCGGTTCGTTTCTAAACTTTTTCCATTGATTTGATGAATTTTATCAACTGAGTTATATATGTGTGTGTGTGTGTGTGTGATTGTTAGATCTGTAGAATTTAATAGATTTTAGATTTTTAGTGGTGACCTCATCTGGTTCCTATGGAACACGAAAACTGGGAAGGAAAATGAAGAGTCAAATGCTCAAATATAAAAGTGCACTGTCTTCTCTTCTGGGAAACTAGCGAATTAGGCAGGATTGTATATAATTCATCAGATTGTCTATATTTTGGCATGATTACCATTTACCAGTTGGACCCCATGATCTGTCACTTCATTTCAAACCATATTTTATCCATTGTTTTGTTCATAAATTTGTATTTACCTAAGGCACGTTAAGCTACATTTATGAAATTCTTTTGTAAATGTATGATCGTCAAATCATATGCAGATCTATTACAGTATTTATTGAAGGAATTGAATCAATTGATTTGGATAACTTCTTACAATGTGACAATGCCCTAAATTTAATTTTATTTAAATTTGATAATGTGTAAGTTAAAGTATCATAATGATTATTTAGAAATAAAGAGCACAATAAATTTTGTGTCATATCACAAATATAAAGTGATCTTAAGTAGTGTATAAATATTTTCTATAATATATTTGATTGTTGTTTTAATGTTAGGTTTTAGCTAACTATAAGTCGCATAATATACTGTTGAATTTTACATTTACGTTGATTTCGCTGGAGGCCCAATTTATGGAATTCGCCTCAGGCCCTAACAATCGCAAGACTAGCCTTGCCAAAACCCAGAATTTCTTTTTCGATCAAAACCCATTTGTTTTTCTTCATCTGACCTAAAGTAGGCTTTTCAGAACCCAATTAGCAAAAATTCCAGATTTTCTGGCGCGGGGAGATTCTGCACAATTTGACTTGTTGAAACAGAAGATTTTGTCATGGGTTTATTTTATAGGTGTTGCAGGAGTTGTAGCTTATGTTCTTAATGTGGCATGGATTGATGGCTCCACTGGATTTGGTAAACCCTTCATTGATGTTGTTTGGAGCATTTCCGAGAGCCCTAAGGTTGAATTTAGACACTGTTTGGTTCAGATTGGTTCAACTTGTCTTGATTTGTATGAAAACTGATAAATTGGTTTTCTTTGATACAAACATGTCCATCGTTTATAAGTTGAATTAGAAATTTCTATTCAAGTAGTCATAAGCATGTCGTAATTATCTTTACCAAACTGGCAGTTGAAGTACAAATTCAATATGGGTTTGAAGCCTAATTTCACATATTTGTCTAGAGGTTTCTAAAGAACTGGAGTGCTGATAGTTGGAGATTATCGAATTAGATGAAAAGAGAAGCTTGTTGCATTCAGGTTAGTTGTTCCACTTATGTCCACCTTACAAAGAATTGAAATAGGTAGTTTTAGTGTTTGATTAAATGCATGTGAAAAAAATTCACTTTTATATGCTCTTGCAATTAGTACTTGAATGATTTTAGGCATGATCTACAAACATGCAGATCTTGTATTAACATAATAATGAAGGCGTATTATCTTATAAGATGTAAAAGGATACAGCAGAGAGCCATGGAAAGTGAGCTAATGACAAAGTGTCTCGTCTTTCGCGACAAACTCCTCCAATTTCTGCAGCAGACTCTCTGCTCTTTGGTTATGATTCTGTGAGGCTGATAAATCAAAAATGTAGTCGCAGGAATTGTACCCCGTCGCGATCAATACAACTTGGTTTAGCTGATTTAGTAAAAGTATTGAGTTAAAAAATGGCAATACCTGTGGAGTAGAAATAAATATTAATTTTTTAAAGTTATGGAAACGAAAATAATAAGCAGGAAATAGAGGGTACGAACCTAAAGGAGGAATTACATTGGAGAGGAACTTGGAGAAGGAGAGTGGTATTTATGGAGTTCTAGAAAAATGGGTTGGTGTCGATTAGCTCCATCAATAGACTAACATCATCTGAAACATGTAAAAGACGTTAGTTGATACTTTTGTAATGTAGATACATATATACATAATTATACACGAGTGTACAGAAAGAAGAAGGGACCGCAGCTGGAGTTTTCTTCTTTGTTGTCTGTAACTTTAATAGGATTCTGGGACTCTACACTGGTTTAAACACAGAAATTAATTAATACCCAGTCCAATATCTTAAAAAACAAGTCTTAAGTGCTAATTCCACCTTAAACACCAGTAAGCTGTAGGGAATACTTCTTGAAATAATATTTTGTTTTTATAGCATACTTTCAACTAGAATTACATCTTAATACAACCAAAATAACTTTAGCTAACTTGAAATAATATTTAGAAAATAAAAAAATTTGAAGTCATAACAATAAACATATATTTCTAATCTTTGAAGTATTCTTGGCCAAAAAGTAGGAAAAGTTTTGAGTCCACTTACAAAATTATTTTATTGGGATATCGTGTTGTTAAAAATGAGTTTGCAAAAAAGTGATTTTCAATATCAAAATCAAACAATGGTTAAATTTGTGAAATAATCCTGTTATACAATGTCTATCAGTCAACTTTTTTTTATTTTATCAATTCTGTGTTTTACTTTGTCTTGTTTATATTGAGAAGAAATCCATGGACTTCTCAACTTTATCAGAATTCTAAGTTGGTCTCCTTTAATTATATTCTATTCATTTTATTTGAATTCTTTTGGATTAAAATGGTAGAAGAAATGTTTTTTCTTAGGAATCTCATCTATGAGCATGCTGGCGTGTTCTATTTAGGGAGAGAATGTATCTGATTGAAATCTTTGTCATGAGGCAAATGTGTGAAGCAACTTGTTACATAATTAGTCTAAAATGCATTTAAAAAAATTAATGCAATTTATGAGTAAATAGGTGAAAATGACAGGTTTATATCCTTTTGATACTTCTCCTTCGTGAATTTCCTATAGAAGGCTGGCTTTTTATCCCTCTGCGAGTGTTTACCAAAGCAAATGGGAGATCCACCTGAAACCATTCCTTTTCCCCTTAAGTTCCAGCGACTAGATTCGTTATGGTTAATATAAGGCTAGTTTTTATTTTATTTTTCCCCTCCCATAAAAATTGTTTAAATCTTGTTATTTAAGATTTCATTCCTTAGAGTTGTTAAACTTTTGAAATTAAATCACCAAACGCATGCAAGTCTTTTTCCAACTTCCTTTCCATCTTAAAGTAACTCTGCCCAGAACACTACTCTTCCTTGGTGTTCTCTGGGTCTGTATTTTTTGTTATTTGATGCAGCTATTATACCTTATCCCTTTGTTGTGAGTTTTTCCTTTTTGTTTTTCCAGGTGAGCTTGAATCAAACAAGCGTCGTTTTATTCTACAGAGTCTTCGCATCCTCCTCTTCCGGGTAAATTTTTTCTTTTTGTCTCCTAACACAATTTTTTCTCAACTTTCTTCTAGAATTGATTAATTTCTTTGCTAATAATTTGTGCTTCAAATTGAAAGAAACAACCCAAATTCAAAAACTGACTGGTTATGTTGGGTTGTTTGTGTCAGATTCATGGAAACCATTTGCGTCCATCTCATCCCAATTCAATTTTCCTGATAAATTCTGGTAGCATGATTCATAATTTGTCCCCTTTTTATACTCCTTTAAAATTATTTATCTTGTATTATATATTGAAGAATTTGTTAATAGGTTTCTGGAATTCTTTGTTAATTGGTCAAAAAATCAACCGTGCAGGTGATGTGAGGCGGAACTAATTATACTGCTTTATGTTAAGTTATATTTTATGAGTTTCTCAAATGTGAGAATCATGTTAATTTTCTATTTGTTTATGTTTCTTTACATTTGGTATTGTTAGATGAGGCTTATTGAGCGGTTGCCAGAAGCTGTTCACAGTTAAGTGCATTCGAGGATTGAGATATGTGATTTGACACAGATTGTGGAAGAGCTGGTGTTTTACAGTCTTGGCACAGGTGCTACCAAGGTAAATGTTTCATACTATAAATTTTTGATGTATATGTTCCAGTTCGCATATGATATTGTAGTTGTCACAGATTCATATTTTTTGTTGATTTGAATACAAAATTGAAACAAGTCAATGATAGAACTGTTCAGTTTTCCAATCATATTTTTTATGGATCTGATCAATATATCTTCCGAGTTAACACACTTGAACCATGACATTCATCCACTCCTTACACCATGACATTTGACGTGCATATCCGTTCAACAACCACCATAGGCTTATATTTAAAATGCTTTTGTAGATGAATTTGTTGAATTGTACTCTTCCCATTAAATGCTTATGCAGAAAAAGAAAAATGTTACTATTTGCTGTATCTCATAACTAAGTATCTTGAAAAAGTTATTTTTGAGCAGAGATAGCTATATTGAAGCTTCATTTATATTCTCACGAATTACATGATTAAGTGCAGATGATTTGACTGGGATGCAACCACGAGCAAAGATGAGCTTTCTTTGAGCCTGAAATCATCTGAGAAAGTTCTTGAGAAATTAGATGTTGGCCAACAATTAGCACTGACATTTAACAATGAGGGTACTTTTCTTGCTGTTGGGGGTGAGGTAACGAACTATAGATAAGCATACCTGGGGCAATTTTGTTGTCATAATGGTGCTGATTTATCACACC